AGTCTACGATGACGGTGTCCTTGGCTGTGGTCCCATTAGCAAGAGCGCATCGGATTGAATGCCTGAATCTGGACGTGTCTGAGGACAGGAGCACGAAATCGAGATAGAACTGCTTTTCTGTATCTCTGCATACAACATGGCCAGATTCAGGATTTCTATTCGATCCTCTTTGCTAGTGGGACCAGGCCCCTTGAGTTTCAGCTATAACACAGCAATTTTTACAGATTTTCACAAAAAACCTTGGAGGGCTCTTTTAAAATTCAAGCAACCATTCCTTGGGAGTGGAGCGCTCTGTTTAAACAGTCAACTGCAACAACTGCAACAACAACAGAATGTTTGCTGGAGGAAGGGGGAGGTACAGAACATTACTTAGAATCACTGACCAATTCTCCTAGTAGCAGCCAGGAGATCTGTGCATACTACTACTTACCTTAGGATGTCATGTATGCCAGCATCTCAGGCGGATGTGTAGTTCTATTGGCCTAACTTCATTCCTTATAAGCAAGCCCAGTAGCTCGCAGTGACTACAATTGCATGTCTTTTTTTTTTTTTTTTTAACATGTCTATTCACACAAACAACTACAATGCTGAGGGACGCTGGACCCGCTTTTTAGCAGGTGCTGCTCCCCACCAATAGATGGAGCCTCCCTGACAGTGCTACAGTCTTCACCCGAATAGAACGCCAGGTCATTATCGCTGCATCTGGACTGAAAAATGCCCCAAATACAGCTATAATGACCGGGTGTTATATTCGGGTGAAGAGGGTAGTGGTGACTGCTCTTACCAGCACCCCTAGCATCCGTTCGAGTTGTTTCTCTTAAAATAAAAAATAAAAAAAACTCTTAAAAAAAAAATTAAAAAAAAATGAAGGCATGCTGCGAATTCAATATGTGGTGAAGAAGCCCTATTGCCTGAAACATAACATAACTTTCTCTTTTTGTTTCTTTCTTTTTCTAAATGGCAGCAACCCACCTTGTGACTCGTCTTAGAAACCCACCGAGTTTTGTACGCGACTGTGTGGAATGCAAAAACGGGTTCAGGGCGGACAAATGACGAAGATTCTCTAGGATGCATCCTAGAGTTCTTTCTAGGTTTTTTGTAGATTGTATGTCTAATGAGACCCTTATCTGGATGTATCTGACAGCCGTTGAGGTCAAATTCAGTTGAAAGAGAAATATTATTGTGCAACCATGCCCTTAAAAGGGTAGCATGGGTACCACCCTTGGGTTAGTTTTGTTGTTTCCTCTGTGGAAACCTGACTGACCCATGGGTACCCTCGTGAAGCCCGTCAGAGGGTTCGCTGTTGTTTACCTGGTTTTGCGTTCATTTTTGTGTGAACAAACTCGCTGCAAGTACGATACTATCAAGTGTTGTCTGCACCGAATATACAAACTCACCTGACCCTCTTCGCAATGACAAAACATGATTTTTTCTTTTTTGTTTTTTTTTTGCCGGTACTCGAAGTTCGAACCCTGCCCCAAGAGAAGTTTCAGAGTTTCAGAGTTTCAGTTTCTGAAGAATTGTGGAAGATGGGACGCTCCAGCTGGTTCCCAGCATGTGCTGTGACACCCAACCTCACGCCCAGCGCGACTTCCTGATCGGAGTGGGATTGGGGCCCGGAAGTGCGAAAAAAAGGGCGTGCCAAGGATTTTAGGATAGTGGGGGTGAAGTTCCAGGTCACAACTGAAATCTCCTGTGGCAAGCCTTAGGGACAGTTATGCAGGATGGCAAGCGCAAACCAGATCCGACTTTTATGCCTTGGGGGATGTCATCGCCATCCCGCGAGTTTCGTCGCCGAGGCCGGGCTTGGATTTGGTGACCCAGCGGAATGCTATGCGTGTCTCGTTGCCTAATTAATCACCAGCGTCGCTCGTGACAAACCTCCGAGTCAGACGAAGCGGGCCTCAGGCGCAGGCTGTGCGCTCGCTGCTCGGCCTCAGTCCAGGTTCATCGAACGAACCCTGCAGCTCAGTACTCGCTGTCCTGCTGGCACTCGGAGCATGGGGTTTGAGGCCAATAGGGGGTGAGCACGTGCCACGGGGCCGCTGTCAGGCAGTGAAAAGGCAACACGAGGCGGTAGGGAACGAAGTCTGTCTCAATGATGACAACACCGGGTTTGGCGATGACGTAGCTTGCGTCTGAGCTGGGGAATTGGGAGGGAAAAGGGATCGCGCTTAAGGCCCGTTCAATGTCCCACTCACAGACACGTTCGTTTCCCGTCCGAAAGGGGAATTTTGGAGGGTTGGGGCAGGGTTGTGCGAGAAGACAGGCGTTTCTCCACTCCCAATATTCTCGGAATCGTCGGTGTCTCAGGCTTTCCCGATCTGTGACGTGGAAGGGAGTCCCATCATCCATGCTATCTGAATTTTGTGAGTTTAGACATTGACTTGAGTGTGGGTCTTGTAGACGTGCGTGTAGGCGATGTCCGTTTTAGTCGAGCCTGCACGTATGCGCACGAGACCACGTTTGCGATCAGTTGGATCGGATCGATTGGCTATCCCTTTGGTCGGGAGATCGTCTGATCCGTCGTCATGCTAGCCCTTGCGCGTGTCAAGAACCAGAGCATACATCAGCCGGGACCGCCGAGTGTTCGTTAGATTCTCCTTTCTGTCCAAAAGGGAACGGGAAAATGGCATGCATCCGTGTGATCCGGCAGAGACAGTGTCAACAGTCGAGGGATTGGTCTGCCCGGTAACTTAGTTTCGCAGACGCATTTTCCCAATACTCAAGCATCAATCGAACTCATGCATCAATTAAACTCGAGGACCGTGCGAATCTCCAGAAAAAGCATAAACTAGAGATTGACAAAGGTTTGCGCATCAAGCCATGTCACCGAGGAAGCCTACATCATCATAACTCAAGCTCACCGGGGTCACGTGCAGACCATCGTCGTGCCCGATCTCACCATACTGCAATGAAACAGGAGTGAGGGGGAAAATCAGACCGATTACAAAGAAAAACATGAACCAGGGGTAGTTATGAGTAAAAGAGGACCGATGCCACTTATCAAAACTACATAAACGAGAAAAAGAAGGACACCATCCCACACACAAGATCCGAAGGTTGGCAATTCTGTAATATGCATGAGGAGCGCATCCAACCCAAGCGCAGAATGGGGACTAGAAAGTGACAAAATTTGAGTTAAACTAGTTATGCAAAGATTGCGCGAGGAGGGGTGAGAGAAGTGCGCGAGTTCATTCCACACACACCATAAGCAGAAAATTCAAAATGATTCGCAAGAAGATCCAAAACGACCGTAACAAGATCGTCCAAGGTTGAAATCAAAATGTATACAGAGAGTTCGAGAAAGGCATCATCCCACACACACATCTCTCTCTCTCTCTCTCTCTCTCTCTCTCTCTCTCTCTCTCTCTCTCTCTCTCTCCATGCTACGTCACCTCCGATGCGGGCAGTTCGTCGCCTCGCACCAACACGGAGTCGTCACCCCGCTTAGTCCGAGTATGCAAGCAAAGTTCGCCCGTGCGTCACAGTCCGTCGTGGCCCGCACATCAACCCCGCCTACCCGGCACCAGCTCGTCGGGTCGCCCGACTCACTCTGCTCATCTTCTCACTTCCTTGTTAGCCGATTCCTCAGTGACCACTCTAACTTCCAAATTTTGGGAGAGCAAACTAATCGTGCTTGCGAAATTTATAGCATGCATGCTTGCGCGATGAACCCGGGATTATGCGTAAGTGAAGGGAAGGGGAAGAGAAGGAAGTGCCTACGCCTGCACGGCCAAGCCGCGGCGTGGGGCACGCAACCACACTCCACGCATCAATCCGGTCATGCAGTCGCTCAAGCCAATTAGAGTGGCGGATGAGGTGTGCACGTCAGAGGGGAAGAAGGCGGGGAACACGAGAGAATCAAGGAGTACAGTTACAATTTCACCCGCCAAAAATTACAGTTACATGCAGAATTAAGGGCGTGATACAGTCAGAGCCCAGTCCCCACTGTGGTGAGAGGTGCGCGAGCAAGAAGTGCGGCGCAACAAGATTTCAGAGCACATAAATTCCTAGTCTAAATCCTATTTGCAAAAAGAAATTCTGAAAAGCTTAAAAAAAAACAATTCCAAGAGCCCGTTATCCGTTGTAAATTTGAAAACGACATTCCCGCGCGCTAATCGCACCAAAATTCCCATCTCCCCCAGTAAAACAAGAAACTTTAAGAAGCTATGACAACTGTTATTTATCGCGCTCACTAAGGCGTGGTCACTCAATCGTCGTCGCGGGACTTTCCCGGCCCCGGTTCTGAAAGCCAAAAAGAAAGAAGCGAGGGTATCCATGCAACTTGTCCAGCCAACCCCTATCTATGCATTCCACCCGACCAACCAGTCTCCAACCCCCGAAGCCGCTTCGCGCAAAAAGTCGTGCGATTACAGAAAATAGTTCGTCACATATGTGACGCCCAGTGGGTTCTAATCTTGAGCAATCTCCCGCTTGCTCTCTCATCAGGTGTCGACCCATGATCCGAGGATCGACGTGGAGCTTGGACATGCCACTTACCGTAAGATCCGAGTGTGAAAGTCATCCGTCGTGGCATTCGTGCGCTTCAATTCTAACCGTTACCCGGAAAAGGCAATCAAATGACGGGTGGAGGCGGCGAGGGATGGACTTGCGGAGGGGGGGGCATGAAGCGGCAGATTTCTCTGTTGCTAGTGGGGAGCGGGACATAGTGGACAGTGCGATGGATACGGGGAAAACGCTGGTGCCGACGCTGGTGAGGGAGAGAGGCGAGGTAATCGGGGTAGAGAGTGCAGAGGGTGCAGCGGATGGCAACGCGAGAAATCCTCATAGTCTTCACACGCGGGGATTGTGCCCGCGATCATGCAATAAAGCTCTACATTATTAAATTCGAGCCAATCTACGCTAAAGAGAAGGACGTGGAGGGGGAAAGAGGTGGCGAGCGTGCGAGTAGTAGCGTGTAGGAAGATAGTGATCATGAGGCGAGTGGAGTAGAGATGGTGGAAGAGGGAAGGCGGGAAGGGGTGTCATCCATCAAGGAATGGGGGTCAGCGTATGAGCTGCCGAAGAGTGAGGAAGTCACCGGGACGGCGAGATAATGATCGGGGACGAAGCCCGAGCGCCCGCATCTCGACGTAGGCGAAGGCTGGGCCGGGGAGAGGATTGGGCTGGGGATTCACTTCTTCGGCGGCGCCGGCTTCCCGATCCCTCTGTCGTGGTGCCTCCATTTCTCTCGGCCTCTTCTTGTGGCAGTTCCGGATTGAGCGCGGGATCACCCTGTAGCAGTTGCGGCGGTGGTCCTCCTGATTCCTCGATCGGCTGCTTGCCTTCTGCCGCTGCCCGTCTTCTTTGTGCCACGACCTCTCTCTCTTCCCTGCTCTGTTCATCGGGACCACTCGACTCACCCGATATGCCCTCTTCTTCCTCGGTCTCCTCCTGTTCCGAGCTGGCCTCTTCTGACTCGGTGTCCTCCGATTCGTGATAGTCGGAATCGTCCGACTCAGCCTCCGATTCGTCTTCTTCTGGCGTTTCCTCTCCTTCCTTGTACTGAAGATGATCGTCCTCCTCGATCTCTTCCTCTACTGCTTCTTCTTCCTCTTCTTTGGCTTCCTCGCTGGTTTCTCCTACGTTCACTCGCCGGATGAGAGGATCCCAGAAGGAGAGATCAGTGACGTCGATGACCAGGTAAGCGCCTTCGAAGGGATAATAGCAATGATCCCCGTCGAGCTCCGTGCACGTAGACCACAAGAGATGGGGGTCTAAGGTACGGGCGAGTGTGGCAGTCCCGGGCCTTTCGTCGCAGCGCAAGAGGATCTCCAAAGGTAGATCGTCCAACAGTTGGGTCAAGAACACCACCACTTCGTCTGTGATCGAATCCAGGTAGCCGTCGGGTACTTCCCCGAACAGGATCCCCAGAAGCTCTCCCTCCATGTCCTCCAGGCTTGGATGACCAATAACTCCACCTCGTCGTCCGGAATCTCGTCCTCCTCGCTTCTGTCAGCAGGCTCCGCCCAATGGAAGACGACTTCGAGGAGGCAGAAGCTGAGTGCTACGTAAGCGTGCCACCACTGTGCTCACTTGGCCGCGTTCAGAATTGGCACGTCCAGCCTAATTCTGAAGGATAGAGCGGAGTCAAGTGCAGACTGCCAGAACGTAGGAGTGTCGGAACGAAGGCCGAAGGTGGAGAGGCGGTAACGGTTCATTGAGGCCGGGCGAAAGGATGAAGCTCCGGGAGGAGGACCTCTGGCGCGTTGGAGGAGACCCGAAGCTGGAGATCGATGTCGTTAACTATCACGGCCCGATCACGAGGTCGAGCCAGTAATTGCACCCACGCAGTCATGATGTCTGTTGCCCAGCCCTGCAGCTGCCGGGGATCTCGGTATGCCTCACCAGACGCAGCACCGTGATGTCACATGTAAAGACGACAACAACGGACACGTGACTCTCGCCAGGTGAAGATAGTCTCAAGAAGGTCGACACCTCGGCCAATATAAGTGTCGCCCCGGACTGCGTGAATCGGAACTCCACCGCTGCGTGAATGGCCGCTGTACTGAAGAAGGTCGCGAATCGGAGAAGATCTGGACTCAATCGAGGACGCTGTACTTGCCGGATTGCAGAGATGGCTCCCTTGGGTACCATTAGCCGCTCGCTGATGACCTGTTCGGTGGAAAAACTCGTGGCGATGGCGAGGGAGATGAGGGCTGAGAAGAAGAAGGATGAAGGTAGTTGAGATGATCGTCTTCCTCCTCTGTCGAGAGACGACGTGGAGGATGGAAGAGAAGGGGAAGATGGGAGAGGGCGAAGGTAGGACACGTGTCGAATGATCGGGCGAGCCGATCGACTTCCCGACACCTCCGGTGCGAGCCGCACAGTGTTTACTCCACTAGGACCGAGCTCGATCACGCGAAATCGCCCGAAGAATCGTGGCGCTAGCTTACCCTGCCGAGCACATTTCCTCACCTGTACTATGTCCCCTAACTTATGCTGGGGCCGTGGTCCAGCGTTCCCATTTCGGGCCTCGTAGATCCGGACCTGTCGTCCGTGGGCCATTTCAGTCATTCTTTGTCGTTTTCGGGCTAGCTGGGGGAGGGTCTTTTCTATTAATTCCAGGTGGCGTTGGGCCTTGTCTTTGACCGTTGCTCTAGTGGTCCGTCGCGGAAGGGTCGTTTCATCATTTAGGCTTGGTAGGGCTACACAGGCCACACTATTGGTCCATAATTGGAAAGGGGTCAGGCCGGTAGACTCGTGGGGTGTCCCTCGATGAATAGCTAGGATGTGGTCGACGATATTGGGTCAAGGCCTTGTATCATTCGCCGCGATATTACGTCGTAACACTGTCTTGATTACCCGGTTGGCGTTTTCTACTAGTCCGTTCGATTGTGATATATGGGGAGCGGTATTGTGGATCGAGACACCATGTAGGACCAGACTCCTCAAGACTTCCCCTCAGAATTCTGCCTCGTTGTCTGTTAAGATTTCCTCGGTGTCCTTATGCATCCCGAGAAAACGGTTGACATACCGCGCGATTTCCGCCGCTTGTTGCGTCTTACAAGGATACGCCTCTATCCATTTCGAAAAGTGGTCCACAAATACCACAAAAAGTGAATACTCGCATCTATTTGGTCCAGGCGGCACGACAATATCTGTGGTATCCATGCTGACCCTTTGGAACGACCATTCAACTACAGTGGGCACTATCGATTTAGGCAGCTGAATCGACGCCTTGTCGGCGACACAGACGGGACAATTTCGGACGATCAATTGAACATCGTCGTGAATATTGCACCAATACCATTCGTTTTTATTGATCGTCGCATCCGTGATCCGAACGATGAAGTGAGCCGCCTTTTCCTCGTGGGCCAACTTAACCAGTCATATCTCACAAACGGAGTGAAGACATCCAAATCCCACTACCATCCGTCTTCCATTTTTCTAACCGTTCCTCATTCCATCGGTAGTCCCGTGCCCTCTCATTGGCCCTCCTCCGGTCCTCCTTAGTGATGTCTCGGAGGGAGTTCCCAACCACCATAGCTATCAAGACGACATCTATCCATACTTCGGCCCTTCTAAATCGTCGGTTTTTTTCCAACCCTTCCGACGTGGCTTCGAGAAATCGAGCTTCTGTCGGAATTTTATCAGTGCGCCACAAGGGACATAACCAAGATTTACCCGCATTTCTATACTGGATGCAGGAACTGTGAGCTCGGGAGACACATCGCTGACAGTCTACCCACTCGACATACCCCTCCCCGCTAGCGCGCATAGGGACCGAGTAGACTCTCGAGATTGCCTCGCAAAAATAGCAAAAATTGTCGGGCAGGGAAAGAAAAGAGGAAGACGAGAAGGGAGAAAGAGGACTTTCGAGATTACCTCCATGCTCCATCACCATCGTGTTTGCCGATCACTTCTTGGAGGTCCGAGGGAGGATGGCCACTTGGTCGTACGAGGGCTCGCCGGTTGGTTCCGCTTCCTTCCACCGTTCCACGGTGTGATCTCTTTACCCTTGGCCACCCTGCTAGGCTGGTACAATCGTGTCAGTCCGTCAGCGTTATTGTGCTTCTCCGTCTTCCGGTGGACGATATCGAAATCGTATTCTTCCAGTCGCACGGCCCAATGTCCGATCATGCCCGTGTAGTTGGTAAGCCTCTTGAGAGCCATCAGAGGCTCATGGTCTGTAACAAGGAGGAACTTCTGTCCATAGAAGTATGGATGGAAGTGTTGAATCCCCCAGACAACCGCGTAGCACTCTCCCTGAGGATCCGAACCGTTTCTTCTCTCGTCCGATATCTTTCGCGAAGCATACTCGATGACGTGTTCAACACTGTTCGCGGCCGTTTTTCCCCTTCTGAGCCAAAACAGCGGAGATTGCTTCAGCCTGCCAATTCGTAATGAGTATGAATTGTTTCCCCGGGTTAGGCCGAATCAAAATAAGCGTTGTGGCCAAAACCTCCTTTAAGGTGACAAAGGCCCGTTCACACTCGGCGTCGCAACTCAGCGGTTGGTCCTTCCGTAGAAGATTCGTTAGAGGTCGGGCGATTGTTGCAAAACCCTTGATAAATCGACGATAGTACGAGGCCAGTCTAAAAAAGGCCCGGACTTGTGTCAACGTCGTAGGTGTAGGGGCATCCCGAACGACCGCGATCCTTTGAAACCGCGCGTTCATTGAACACAGGTTTTCCGTTCAGAAATTGAATGGAATGCACGCGCGTTCAATGAACGGGACCGAATGCGGAGTTCAATTCCGCGCAGGGAAAAAAAAAGAAAGAAAAAAAAAAAAAAA